AGCCCAGCGAGTCCTGAGGAGGTTGACAGCAGGGGGTATTGGGAAGGTTGGAGGAGCCACAGCAGGGTGCAGTGAAGATGAGAGTTTGTAGCCACGCCCCTCCCCCTCCCCCCACCCGCAGTTGTGCTGGAGATGATGGATGTGGCACTTGCAGGGATCTTTGGGGTCCAGGTCTCAAATGTCATACTCTCCTTTTCCAGGATTTCCCGGGAGTCATGGGAGAAGCACCATCACCCCAAGAGAGCACAGCCGGTGGCAGACCAGGGGAGGAGCAACCTGGCAAAAGGTGCCCCAGGGGTGAGCGCCAGCCAGCCAGGCCCTGACAAGTCACACAGCAGTGAGGTTACAAGGAAGGGATGTGAAATCAAGTAGACTTGGACTCAAATCCCGACCTGGACATTTAATTGTTTAGAGAAGTGATGTGCCCTTTGGAACCTATTTCCTCATGTATAGGGCAAGGACAGTAACACTGCTGACCTCTCTGCTGGGGGACTGACAGCACACACACGTGCTTTCGATGCTGCAGCTCCCAGGAGGCTTCAGGGACATCCCCACTAGTGCTAGTCCCCACGACTCTGTCCCCAGCTTTCTGAGCAGGGGGTGGGTGGGGCATGCAGACTTCTGGCTCACTCCTTCAGTTCCCGTCAGCCCCAGCTTCCATGGAACAGGTGCACTCAAGGACTTATAGGTGGTCAGGTGCTCGGCCTGTGGCATCACTGATTTCTAACCCTTCCCACGCAGCAACTACTACTTTTCACTTTAGCTACTAGGAAATCTGAGACTTGGACAGGTCTGAAGATCAGCTGGTCCCCTCACAAGAAACATCTGGCTCTTCCGAGCAATCTGACCCCTTCACAATGCCAGACCAGGGTGATGAAACAGCGGCAGGTGGACACCTGACTGAAGGGGGTGCTGCTGAAGCCACCTGCTAGACTCGTGGGCAAACCCCAACATTATAGTCTAGAGAGCCCACAGTCGGCCTCTGCAGTCCCCTGGTGCATTATTTCCACTTCTTCCTCAACATGCCACTCATCAGCCAAGACAGCGCCGTCTGTGGTTGACCATAAGTCAGCTTACATTTCTTCAACCACAAAGCCAAGAGCTCAACTGCAAATGAAAATCTAGATCCCTACATTGGCGACAGAGTGGTCAAAAGTCTTTCCTTTGGAGGAAAGAGGGAGGGGAGCTGGATGCTAGGGTCTTGCAGTTGCATGGTTCTAGAAACAAAGGCACTGCATCACCAATCTAACATTTATTTCTGGGGAAAAAGCAACTGGGGACCAGATGCCTTTGTCATCTCATTATCTCTACAAATCTGTTAGGTTCCTTGACCCCTAAAACTCTTGATTTAGCCTTACCCACCCCTAAAAAAAAATCTAAGAAAAAAACATACTTTTAAATCATGTGTGATTTCACAATGATCCACCAGCACCAAATCTGTGCAATGTCCTGACCTGGGTTCTGGGGACACCGAGAGACAGAAAGCACTGGCCCTCCTGGCAGGAAGCATGAGGCAGACTCCATAAATGCTTTGAAGGCCACTCAGCAATGCTATCCTCGAGTACTGGGTGTGGTTCATGCTCCAGTCTGCAAGAGGCCACTGAGGGCAGGCAAGCAACAAGGGAACACGAGAAGCAGGGAGAATTTTCTAAAAATATTTTGATAATTAATTCTTTAATTAAAGTAATTTGCATAGGACAAATCAGAACTTTGTCAGCATTTCTTATGCTTATCATGTAATATTGCTTGTATTTCGAGTGACTTATTATTAATATGCTCAGATCTTCATGGAGAGGAGAGAAGCTGGGTTTGAGAACAACTGAAGTTATAAATTTGAAAGAACCTGATGATTGTCTGATAAGGATGGAGTGGAGCATGACACTACGGCTCCTGAGTGGGTCCCTGGGAGGCGGCAGGTACCACCAGCCTAGGTAGAAAAACTGGAGGTGTGGGAAGGAGCTAGTGAGAGCTAGGTGGAGGTATCCGAGACTCAGCGAATATATGGGATATCTAGTCCCTGACGTCCTGTGGGCTAGAAAGCCAAAGGACACAGCTCAGAAGGACAGATCCATCTGGAAGCTTCAGAGTGTAAAAGTGGATGAGCTCCCCTCAGGAGCAGTGAGAGGAATTCAGGGACAGTGCAAGGGCCAGAATGCTGCAGGGACCATATTTACAGGAGGCCGAGAGCTCTGCTACTGGAGACTGAGAAGGAGAAAGGCCAGGAAGGCTCAGGGCCCCCAAAAGCCCAAGGAAGAGGAATTTAAAAAGGAGTCACCTGAAGTATTCAAAACACAAAGGGGAATAGAAAGATAAACTCAAGAAGACAGGATGGGTTTGGTCATAGGGTACCTTTCCTAGAAAGTTCTAGTGCTGGGCACAAAACCTGGACTGGTGAGAGTAAACAGTAGCAGAGAAAGTGAATTAAGCTCCCTTCAAAGACTTGTAAGAGAAAAAAGAGGTGGGACTGTCGCCCAGAAAATTGTTTAGCTTGATTTATGTAAAGCTGAAGCTGTTGACAAGGCCAGAGGGAAACATCTGGGAAGGGAGAGCGATTGATCCACAGCTGGGAGAGGGGAGGAGAAACTGATGGGAGGTGGGGCAGAGCATCAGTAACAGATGGAAGGGGTGGCCCCTCCAAGGTAAAGGCACCCCCTTTCCAAACGAGTATCTTCATTTTATCCATGCATCACTGGGCCAAGGAAGGGAGATGGTTCAGTTCAGTCCTGAGCATCCTTTAAAGTCAACAGTGTGAAGAGAACACAAAATGAATGTGCTCCCCTCTAGTGTGCCAAATCCTGAGATCATCTGTCACCAAGTCCATTTCCAAATCTCCGCTCCTTGCAAGGCCAAATGGCACATCTACATGCGGAGAAGGTTTAAAAAGAAATGCACTGGAAGCTTCGGAAGCCAGAGCTGGAAGCCAGCAGGGGCCTGCCAGAGAGCAAGTAGCCCTCCCTCCGCCAAGCCATTCCCCACCACCCCCAACTTCTTAAGTAACCAAAGAGCTGCCAGCCCGTGGATCTCTACAGGGCACAATTCCAGCACCGCGGAGCAGTCTGCACGCTACGGTGAGTCGGCCTTTTTCTTTCCCCAGGGGCATGACATGGGGACAGATGTAGCCAGAAAAACAGTTTGATCACATCAGAAGCAATCTCAGGTCGCCTCAGCCAGAGCAGGGGCTACACCTGAAGAAACGACCCAGCGACCAGACGGCCGGTAGCAGCCGTAAAGTGGCAAGTCTGGGTGACAAGTCTGGGTGACCGGCGGCGTCGTGGAGAACGGCACAGCCGCCCAGTGGGTGTGGGTGAGCGAGAGGCCCGAGCTCCGAGGAGCGCGCGCCGCGGGCGCCCCTCTCTGGGTGTTGTCGGCTATGACTCCTGTGAGAACCTGAGAAAGTCCGATCAAGTACCGAAGCCAGAGCTGGGGCCGGCTGGGGCGCCCTCCCAGACCAGCAGCCCCAACATTCCTTGGTCAGGGCGCTGGCCACACGGCCTTGAGAAAGGGGCTCACAACGTGCTGACGCCCAGAGGCTGCGGGAGAACCGGCCAGGGAAGAGGCGCACTTTCCAAGGAGGGAACAGAGGCCAAGCCGTCAGAGGTTCAATCGGTGGTTTTTAAAAACAAAACCCAAAACAGGGCTTCAGGCCCGAGGAGCTCCAAGAGCCGGCCTGGGCAGCAGGTGTTTCGGCTTTTCTCTCTCCGTGGGTGTCCATCTCCGCTCTAAAGGAAAATGCGGCCCTGGGCTTCGGGCGCTGAACCCGACCCCACCCGGGCAGGAGGAACTTTCTAGGCCGTGGCTGGAGCGGAGCCTCGGAGCCATGCAGGGGATAAAAGTGGGAGGGCACCAGTCGTGGCCAGTGGCACCCCCGGGGACCGGGTCTCTCGAAGGTCCGCGGCCCTTCCCCGGTCCACCAGCTGCTGCCAGACATCCGCGAAGTTCCGCGACGAGGGCGCCCGCCGGGTCTGCCCCCCTCCCGGGCTCAGTCGCCGGGAGCAGGTCCCGCTGCCCGCGCCGTTGCTGCCGCAGCCCCGGCGCTCAGCTGCAGCAGGGCGCGGGAAAGGGCACTTTGGCGCGGAGTGGGAACTGAGGGGAATGTGGCGGCGCGGAGCCTGGC